ATACGTCTCACCTGAAGCCCACATGTACAGTGCGTACGCCACAATCTGGTCCGGCTGCAAAGGCTCCCTGTAGAACGTCACTTGTTGCTGAAGATGAGGCGCACACGCCTCCGCGATCTCCCGGAACACTCACGGCGACATTCGCAGCTTATCGCGGAAGTAGTCGTCAGTCACGTCGTCGCATAGCCTGAGGTCTTCCCACGTTCCTCCTGTCCTGCGCTTCACCCACCACCGCGGCGTCGCGCGGGGTATCACTCCGCAGCCCAACGCATAGCACAGCTGAACAACAGCTTCCGACGTCGCCACGAACTCGGCACCATCGTGTGGATCTTGCGTCAATGTCCTCCGTCTACGCGCGCGCAAATGCTCCTTCAGTCGCCCCAGCGCCCTCTCCTGCTGACATCGAAGAACGATCGTCGACACGGCCGCCGCCACCGCCTGCAGCTCACCATGACTCAGCACATCACGTCTAGCCGCTGCGCCGCCCTCCATAGCCCGTCTTGCCCTCCAAGACGTCCGTTGAGAAGGTGGCCCCTTTTCTCCGCTCACAACCCGGCGCACGAAAGCGAAGAGCAACGCGCAGTCGACGTGCACAAAGGTCCACGGCGATGGAAGCACAACACGCTGCGGGAGCAGATGAGGGAGCCCTCTGGACGTGGCCTGCGCCGCCGCCGGGCCCTTTTCCACAGCACGACGCCGTCGTCCCGCCAGCCACACGTCGTCGTCGCTGTCGAAGCTGGCATTCGAAATTTGAATTTCGAATGCCCACGCTCTCGGGTTTAAATTTCTCCTCGCGCCGCCCGCAGACTGCCGTTTCCCGCCTCGCGTCGCTGGACCGCGCAGCCTCCACACGGACAAAGAAGCTGGACCAAGGACGACATACCCCGCGGCCGCTAATTTGCGTATGAAAACGGCCGCGGGGAAGCCACAAGGAAACACCCTCGGGGGATGGCCCCAAGGATGAGTGTAACGACGCCGCAATTTTCCCTTCAAAACCACAAGGACGTTTCCTTGTGGCTCAAGGAAACCGTAAGGAGTGTCTAACGAGGCCCCAAGTCCCACTTGCGGCGGTTTAGTCCTCAGTTCGGGACCCTGTGTTTTGTGCGACACGTTTCCTGACCGCTGATTGATATTGATCGTAGGGCGCATGGTCGGTTATGTTTTTCTTCGAACGGAATGGATTGAATGTTGCTATGTAGCGGTTCCCCTCTGGCTGTTATAGTCGGAATGAGCTCTTTCACTTGCAGGGAACGGTCCTCGTCCGTAGCCTGACCCCAGTCGGGCTAGACGTGGGGACCGTCCATCGTCTTGTATTTCCACAGAAACTAAAAGTTTTTCCCGACAATGCCGCTGCCATACCCTTGGTTACCAGACTGACCGGCCTTTCATCATTACTGTCATTCAGCACGTTCAAATCCTGTTATTTTTCGCGATTTAACCCGTCGTTTGTCAACCAGCTGCACATTGCCACACGAAGTCACACAGTGTCGTGCAGTACTGGCTACGGGAACTAAACCGCTGCAAGTGGGACTTGGTCCCAGGTTTTCGACAATTTTGCATCGCCACGGAGACAGATTTTCGAAGAAGAATTGCGGCTCAAAAAATTTTCAACAGGTGTCAGAATGGTACGCTCTACAGCAATCTTCCCCCATCCGTTTCCTCCCCCCCTTGCAGGACACGGAAATTATAAAGTGCCCAACCCACCTGCCTTTCATCGAGAATTGCGTTCGAATTTGCATCGTCAGTCAGCGACTGCTCCGTGACAGCCGTGCCCTGTGGAAAGGCGGAGTCCATTTCGCCATGACCAAAAACAACCTTGCCCCTCTACAGCCTGTGTGGTGAAGGGGGGTGAAACTGTCGATCGCCGACTTTCAATTTTTTTTTTTTCTGACAGCTGTCGAAACTCAACGAGGGGGACTGCTAAAGCTGCCTATTCTGATAGTCAGGTCTGACTGCGAGGTACTTGCCCCCCGCCCAAAAAAAGCATCGACCCCAACTGGACAGCGGATCATACACCATATCAGTGTGTTCTTAGGGCGAGTTCTTCGTCAGAGATGTAAGAGGGCAAAAGAACTGACAAATCTTTTTTTTTTTATTATTATTATTTTTATTATTATTTTTTTAACTGACAAATCTTTCATTACAATTGCAAGGGGAACATACAATTTACTTTTTTTTTTTTTTTTTTTTTTTAAAGCTAAATTTAGAAATTAGAACCCGTAGAACATACAATTTACTAATTTCAAGTACTTAGGAAAAGAAAGCAATCTGACATGCAAAGTTGTCTGCTCAAGATGCAGATGGCCATGGGAGAACAATAGACATTTGTGGCTGACCTGCCCAGCTTCTAGATGCATTTGGGATTGGTGGATCAAGCACTGGAGCAGATTTACAAAAGGGACCTTCCAATGGTCGGATGAATGGATTATATCAGGTTCTCACAGAGCTGGGATCAAAGAAGAAAGGAACTGGTTATATGTGGCTCAGACTTGCAGGGCGATGTTGACGAAAATAATCTGGGACAGAAGAAACAATCAACTGTTCAGAGCTTCTGGTACTTCAGACTCCCAACTTAAGCATACAATAGCAAATCAGCTCAGACTGATTATCAGAAGCGACTGCGCCAGGAAAAAACTGCCAGGGAATCAGAGAGCGAGGAAATGGTTCTGGGATACGTGGGGACGGGACTCATCCCTAGTTAAACTAGACAGTCACTCTGTTGGTAGGCTACATTTTTGTCAATGGCTGTTGTTACCACTTGGACACGGCGAGCGTTTTAGCTCCCCACCATAGAGTCTCTTTTAACTATTGAAGAGGTGGATGATTGGAAAGTCTAGGGGTTCTACGCTTTCTGTTCCTCTCTGGAGTCTTACCTTTTTTTCTATTTTTGGAGAACTATGTGAGAAGGGACTCTGGACCCGGTTTCCAGGAGCCTAATCTGGGTAATGGCCCCAGAACACTAGGGGATTTTGTGGGGTTTCCCGGCCCCGTTGCTGTCCAGTTGTTCTTTACGTAATGAAAAGTATTATTTTTCTCCAAAAAAAAAAAAAAAAAAAAAAAAAAGACATGCAAAGTTGACTTCAGGAAATCTGACCAATAGTAGAGCTTGCAAAGCGATTGAGATCTTCGGAGGAAAGTGGAAAGTTTGGGGGTACCCCGCATGTACCGAGGGTACGGGTGGGGGCGCCGGATTTTCGCATGGTGAGTCGCGAGACGTAGATGAAGATCTCAACAGTTCATCTTGCGGTGCAGTACCAGGAACGGAGAGCAGCTGAATAAGCACGTGAAAATCCGCCAAAAGACAAAGGCCACCCTGGAGAACCGTCGGGGCAAGGGGCGGAGGGCCTGGGTGGGGGCAGAGTTAGCCTGGCTGAAATTGGCCCTTCCCAAAATGGCACTTCCGGTCCAACCCTCTTTGGGGGGATGCCTCTGCTGACTACCGGGTCCTGTTCGAATGACGAAGTCGGAGGCATATTAGAGAGCCCTTGCGGCCCGGCCATTGGCCTCAAAGGAGCCCTGTGACGGATTCCAAGGCTGCTGCTGCGAAAAGTGCACTGCCACTGGTCTGAATGATTGTCCAGATACAAGGCTCCCTCTCTAGGCTAACATTGGGACCAAATGCCTGAACCATCCCATGAGTTCTGATTTCAAATGACATCCTGCCAGTCTTGGTCACTGGGACCTCCTTGACGTGCGGACTCTCCACGGCCAGCCGCTTCATCGACAATGGTGAGCGGGAGACCTCGCCTTCTAACAGCCTTCCCCTTCCCCTCGACCTCATGGACCACCGCCTAACACCCCTCCCTCCCGGACCGCCTCTCCCCTACCTTCAGAGCCTGCACCCCCATCTCAGCCTTGTCCCCCACCTCCTCCCCTCTTTCCTATGTCTGTCCGCCAAGGTGCGATCTGCCCTTGCCAGTCAGCATAAAGGCTGCCCCTTGTGATTTCAAGGTTGGCCATACTCAAACCACCAGTACGTTTTGCAGCCGTGAGTTGCAGTGTGCATGCTGCTGTGTTTCTTGTCTTGGAAAGTACCGGGGGCTAGGTCCCACTTGCACGAATTATGCCATGTCGACCGTCGATAGCGAAGATCAACGGCCGCAATCTCCTTATCCGTGCAAGTGGGACCTTGCCCCGGGGCATCCATCCAGGCAAAACGGGCCTCCCTTGTGCATGTGAGATGATGTGACCGGTTTTGCGTGGATGGATGTACCGTGACACAGTTCCCCGGGGCCAAGTCCCACTTACCCGAAATCTCAACTTCTGACCGTAGATTCGGAAGATCAACGGCCCCAAATAAAGGATCACCATAAGTGGGACTTGGCCCCCGGTACTCCCTGAGAGACGGAGCAGCATGCACACCACGACTCCGAAAAAATGGCTGGGAAACGTACTGGTGGTTCAAGTGACGCAATGGATTCAGCCTCTTTCTTTTTTTTTTTTCTTTTTTCCCCCCCCAAAAGCAATGGATTCAGCCTCAGTAGCTAAGGGTAAGGATAGCTACATGCCAGCAGGGATAGACTATCAGGCAGATATTAAAACCCCTTTTGGAAAAGAATGCTGCAGCAGTCAATCCCTGCGAAATGGAGGGCCATCAAATTGAAATTCCGTGTTCCAGTGTTCGAGTGGTGTCAACTGTTACAGTATTGATTGTATAATATGAGGCTTGGGCACTGGGCCCTCCCTTTTTTTTTGACGGGGGGGGGAGGGAGGGGAGGGGAAGTGAACTCCACATGGTTGTGTTTTAGAATGGGAAAGTGGACCCGGGGCAAGGTCCCACTTGCGCAAATTAGGAGATAATTTCGGCCGTTGATCTTTGCTATCTACGGTCAGTATCTCTTAAACCACCAGTACTTGGGCGACGCCTTAGCGTTAACGCTACGGGAATTTCGCTACCGGCGGGCCGTCGATAAATCGTATCGACAGCCCGCGCCGCTTCAAAAAAGGTGCGGCCGGCACGGCGCGCAGTGCCCAAGTACTGGTGGTTTAATTCGTGCAAGTGGGACCTAGCCCCCTATATTTTCCAGCAGGTGCTGCTCCCCACCAATCAATTGCAATGGAGCCTTCAAAAAGGGGCCCAAGACTGGCGGGACGCTCTTATCACCCTCCGATTGTAGGTGCCCAGACCGAATATTCATGTGAAAAAAAAACAAAACAAAACAAAACAAAAAAAAAAACATGCGTACATCATTGAGCTGTACTGAAATTAACTACTGCAAATTGTTGGCATTCAATTTATTTATGTTACAGCTGCTCGACAGGGGCCCTTCCCCTTCCACCCGTCCGATCTGTCCCTGCTGGACTGTTCGATTGCAGGCCGACAAACCGTCTGCTAGTACGGAGTAGAAGGCCTGGTCATTATAGCTGCATTTTGGACAACTGGCAGTCTAGATACGGCCATAATGACCGTACATTCTACTCGGGGGAGAACGGGTAGTATGTCATTACAGCTGCATTTGGGGCAACTTTCAGTCTCGATACGGCCATTTGGGGCAACTTTCAGTCTAGATACGGCCATTTGGGGCAACTTTTCAGTCTAGATACGACCATTTGGGGCAGCTTTCTGTCTAGATACGGCCATTTGGGGCAACTTTCAGTCTAGATACGGCCATTTGGTGCAGCTTTCAGTCTACATAGGGCTATTTGGGGCAGCTTTCAGTCTAGATAGGGCTATTTGGGGCAGCTTTCAGTCTAGAAAAGACTATGCGGGGGAAGACAGCTGCGTCATTGTAGCTGCATTGGGGCCAACGTTCAGTGCAGATATGTCTATAATGACATGAAGTTCTACTGGGGGGGAGAAGACGGGTACGTCATAATTATAGCTGCATTTGGGACAAATTTCAGTCTAGATACCGCTGCAATGACCGTACTATGTTCTATAAGGGGGAAGACAGCTGGATTGCACCAGAAATTGGGAGATGACTTTCTGTAAAAGGGCATCACAGAGTCCAGAGGTCGGATCACCACGAATGGATACAGACCCTGTTCCAGTCCAAATACAGTCCTTTTTTTCTCTTTTTTCTTTTTTCTTTTTTCTTTTTTTGTCCTGAAGTTGGGGTATTGTGTTCAGGAACCCAAGGGAGTTGGAAGAAGATGACGGATTCATGATCACTGGCGGGAAAACCTCCAATACTTTTTTTTTTTTTTTTTTTTTTTTTTTTTTTTTTTTTTTTTTTTGTGTAAGTAATTCCAATTGCTGCCTAGGGTCAAAGGGGAGCACTCCTTTTTTTTTTTTTTTTTGTTAG